CGAAACGCAATCAAGCACCGAAGAAAATCCCTGAAAGCCAAAGAGAGAAAAAACAAGTGAGGTCGAAGGGTCCAGGGAGACTCACCGCCTAAGCTAGAGCCACCTCTAAGGAACCCAACCCCACCACCAAGAAGGAAACCCCTTACTAACGGACAAACAGTCCTCACTTCAGGAGCTCCGACACTTTTCATCTTGAGCCATTCCGTCCATCGCAGCTTGTGCAAAGTCTGCAAGACAATCTCTCTTAGGTAGCATCTGTGCACATACCTTGGTTGTGAGATCCTAGATCTATACATTGAACATACGGCAGCCTGATCACCAACAAATTTCATATTAGGGTTCATCATAAGAACCCACGTTTTGGTAGTCTAAGGTATAGATCTGTAGCATCTCGAGGCCCAACGGCAGCTTTTCGCAGCGCTGTTCCGGGATCCGCTCCTGCGTTTCGCTCCACTACCCAAGGCACCCCTGGCCTTCTGGCGGTTGGGGGTGCTTAAGCTTTGGGGCTTTTAGGGCTGAAGAGTGTTTAGGGATTTCCCCGAAACCCTAAACTCTAAATCCTAAACCCTAAACTCTTTAGCCTTGGCGTCTTAGGGTGGTGAGGGCTTTAGGGCTTTAGCCGTTCAGGGCCAAGTTTGGGGTTTCGGGGTTGGTGTTTTGGGGTTGTAGCTGTTTGCCCGACGGGTCGGCAGTGCCTAAAATCAAGGCACTTGGGCGTAGGATTCCTACGCCTTGGTATGGTCTGATTCGTTGCTGGTTCGCAGTTTGCTGAGGGCTTCTTACCAATACTATTTTGGGGGTTCCTTCTTATAATAATAGTATGATGGGCCCCAGAACCCTAGTCTAAGTCTTAAGGCCCCTATTTCATAACCAGGGGACCAGGGGTTTGTAGGTTTTGGGTCTTAAAGGAGTTCTCGGGGTGCAGTGGGTTGACAGGATGTGATGTGCAAGGCTGTTGAAGTTTCCAAGTTCAGGACCTTCAAACCCTAAGCCCTAGACCCTAAACCACCCTAAACCCAAAGCCCTAAACCCTACACCCCCCCTAAACCCTAAACCCTAAACCCTCAACCCACCCTAAACCCTAAACCCACCCTAAACCCTAAACCCTTGAAACACCCTAAACCCTAAACCCTTAACAAAAACCCTAAACCCCACACTTCAGGGATTCCGAGCCTTCCGCCTTGATGATGTTTAGGGAGAACCCTTAAAGGGGACCTTTCTTAACCCTATACTTATGGCTCTCTTAGAAGGGACCTTATTGAAATTGAGAGGGTCGGTATCCCCAAGGGTCCCCCTAATCCTAACTCCTACTACTTACACCCAAGACTGAACAGATGACCTCGTGATGTAGGAACCTGATTGAGAAACCCAGGGTGTTTATTAACTTCATTAGGGTTCTGCATGAGAGTTACATGAGGCCTGGCACTTTGGGATTATAGGGCCAGGGTTTCCGAATCAGGCTCCTACACTGACCTCGAAACCCAGAACCCTTCATGTAAGTGCTGAATGCCATAGATCAGGTCCGCAAGTGCGTGTCGCGAGCCATTCTGGATGCCCTGGAAGCAGGTCATGTGGAAGAGGCAGGGAGCTAGAATTTTGGTGCCATATAGTTACTAATATAGTTTGTCTCCAAGAGGTGAAGACCCTGAATACCTCACTCATGCAACAAACTCCTGTTTGGTGCCAAATTTTCTGTGAGACTTGCACTGACAGAAAGGTGCATGAATCACGAGCAGCACTCTTAGTTCGTACTACGAACAATGTCTTACTTCCACTGTCTATCATCATATAGTCATATAGTTTTTGATGCTAGCTAGCACAGCGACAACGGGCATTTAGTATCACCGCCCACCGCGACTTCCACCACAGCGACTGCCACGACCAGGACCACGACAAAGACGACGACGACGAAGACTGCTGCTGCTGCTGCTGCATGCAAGTCTCTGATGAGTCCCAAGCCTGGTAGCACAAACACGTTGAAGCCGCGACAGGAACCGGGGTGGCGCCGTAAGAACTGGAGGGTCAGGAGAACGGGATGGCAGAAAAGCAGCGGAGCAGTGTTCTATGTGCAGTTTTTCTGTTTCACTTTTCCCGACCCAGACTTCGGTCCGCAAAGCAACGGTGCGGAACACGAGTACCACATCAACGCCATGAACCGACCATCGCTAGTAGCTACACCTCCAACCACAGCGACAAGTACACCGACGGCTACACGATCACGGCCACCACCCATCACAACACAGCAGCACACTGACATGTTGCTTAGGGTTGTTGTTTTTTTTCTGATGTTTCATGGGATGCACATCTCATTGTGCATAATCCTCGGAGTACCGGTAAGTACGGTCCTATGTTTGTTGGTTCTGCCATCTACGGCCTTCCGCCCCAATCAACATACAGAGTAGGGCACCGAACTCTAAGATCTAAGCACTAAGCCCTAAACCTAAATCGTAAGCTCTATAAACTCTAGAAGCCCTGAATCCTAGACCCTTCCGCAGCCCAAACTCCTGACAGCTAGCCCATTTTCCTGCATTTTTACTGAACTGTCTTCCGAGAGGTGGATGACGAGCTGTACGAGGCTTGCGCGGCCCAGGTGGCACAAGTTCGGGAAGTGCTGGATTAAGGGTTTTATATCGATCCAAAACGTTTTAGAGTTGAGGGTTCAGGGATGTTCATGGATTGGGGGTTCAGGAAGTACGGTTTTAAATCTCTGATCAAGCGTTTCTGACTCTTCTGGGCCCAGTTCCGTGGCTGCAGAGCACATGCAGTCTACAGCACACGCGCCTGTGTTCAGATTCTCACCGTCTACAAGAGTCAGCATGGTGGTGTTCATGGGCTGGTATGAAGAAAGTCGTTCAAAACTGGAACTGTCTCTCTGTCTCGAGATTGATTACGTCAGACTTAGGTACAACAAGGGCTGAAAGCCACCCCCCCCCCCCCCCCAAAAAAANNAAAAAACGAAAAACAAAAAACAAAAACAACGATGAACACATGAAAGCGCGAGGGAGTTTCAGAGGACCCCTACGCCACCTGCAAGAGTTCCGACTCCAAGAGTCTACAGTGTTCATGAACTCCCCTTTGGCCTTAAGTTGCCTGACTCCCCGAGCTCCCACTTAAATCCCAAACCCAAAGCCATAAACCTCCGGCCCTTGGCATGCCACCAGTCATTCCGAAAGTGTCTTGTGATGTCGCCTCGTGCTTAGACATGCCTACGCATCTATCGTACATGTAAGCACGACATAGAGGTTTATACATATACACATACTTAAGGATAGTACGTAAGATCCACAACACACACAAGCATTAATTTCCCTAAGGGTCGAAGTACCTAATATCTATATACTCTCCCAAATACTAATCTACATAACTACTATCCGTAACCCAAGTACATGATTTACCCATAGGCCCCATAGTAGTTCCTTTTTGGGATTACCTAATAGGATCCTGAATACAAACCACAAAAAGGAACTACTATGGGGCCTATTGGTATTGGGTCCTTTGGACCCTTGTTACCTAATAGGATCCTGAATACCACAAAAAGGAACTACTATGGGGCCTATGGGTAGACAACCCTTTGGACCCTTGGGGTTCGGGCTAAAGCCATGGCCCAGTGAGTTCGCAACCCTTTCGCCTGAAGGCTTGACGGAAACAGGGCTGGCTGAATACTAACTAACATAGGGGCCTTAGTAATTAGAATGGGATCTTGGGGTATATTAATATATAATATATAATATAATATAATATAATATAATATAATATAATATAATATAATATAATATAATATAATATAATATAATATAATAAAAATATATAAAAATATAATATAATATAATAAAAATATCATATAATATAAAAAAATATAATATAATATAATACAATACAATA